GACAATCTACTTAGCTTGAACTCTAATTGACCTTTAATGGTGAACCATGACTTCTCTACCTAGTTCAATCAAAAATTTCCTTCAACTAATATAATTTTAGGAAATAATACTAGTTGTAATCTGGCTGTTCACAATATTTACAGAGTAATGGCACATCACATCAGTTTTCTCATCAATAGCTTTTTCTTATGTAACTGTATATAAAACTTGGTTATTAGTCGTGATACACATCAGACGACCATACATTTCAGAAAAACAGTTCCGCCTCAGTATCCCCAATGTGTAACTAAACCAATATAGTTGAGTACAATAAAATTTTCTGCAGCATTGCTTCAAACCATTTTACTTAATAGATCCTAAAGGTTGGATTGAAATAGATGCTTGAAGCAAAGCGAATACACTAATTTTTAGCATACACCGCTTCAATTAGCGAAGTGAGTATGGGTTAATGTCTCCTGGAAGTAAAACTATGGGCTATCAACGATAGATAAGGTACGTGATTATCATTACCTGTAGATAACTAATAACAGCACTGACAGTTTATCAAATGGCAAAACATTAGAGTAATATCATTCATTAGGCTAATTTATTTTCATTCATGTTCGTTTAGTTTGAAGTTCTCACAAACTACTCTTTATTCCGCTTATTCTTTGTCCAAAGTTATGAAGAATTTATCACAGTAAATTAAAATACTATTATTGTGTAAGACAATTAATGGGGACTGCTCATTTTTAGAATATCTCGATAGCGGTGTGGGGTTATGAATTTGAACTACCAAGACGTATCGAATAAGTACGAAAAAGTTTCGCAGTTTCTCGTCCGATACCAGTCAGTGACGAAAGTAATGTAAAAAATTTTGGTGATGTATGGTTTCCTATTTGTTAACAATCGAGAAATAGCTTCAGATTCAATACTGTCAGAATCACACAGTGAAAAACACAGGCACTAACTACATAACAATCTAATTAGGGTGTATTACTTTTAAGACTTAGTTTTGAAATGCTATGTAGACAAAATCTGTCATAATAAGTTAGGAGTATGTAATTTGTGAATAGCTGAAATATGTGCTTCAGTTAGTCAATCCATAGGAACTCAGATATTCGAGATCGTAAATAACACTATGTACTGTATTCCACTAATAACACCACTAAATGTTCATTAGTTAGGATTTACCTGCTGCATATTTCGCAAGCATCAAATAAAGCAAATAAAACTGGATTTGTTACTTTCAAAGTTTTGATTTTACTTAAATATTACATTCAAGAAACAGTGACATCTTATTCAAGCCATAAATAGTTAACCGACAAACAGTATTCGATTGACCCTATTATAATCAGTATCCTGTCCTTTTTTCAAGCACTAGTTACAAAGACTAATTGGTGGAATAATTTAAAAGTGACCTAACAACTAATCAGTTAAGTACATACACTAGGATAATAGGCATACGAACAATGAACTGTTATCCATTTTTTCATATTCGATAATGAATTCTTGAGTAAGTCAAGATATCAGTAAATGAAGAAGTATTTTTGAGTCTGAAAAAGTTTTCAATAAGACCTATCCAACTGTATTTCGTTGACAAAATTTAGATAGATAGTTGTATTTCAAAGCTTAAGCATTTTCAATCATTACAGCAAATAAATTAATATTTATGTTTGACTATAACTTATTGCTTTATTTTATGTGGTAAAATATTTTCTTTTTATAAAAGTCCACTTATGATGGAAATGTATGGCCAGTATAGCTTAGCTGATAAATCAAGAATATAAAATGATGGCTAAATGGAAGATTTATAATGCAATATTTTCATCAGATAATAAATAATAACCCGCTTGAAAACCTATTTGAAACAGTACATAAATAATTGTTTTTATTGGGAAAGATACTACAGTTTTATAAAAGTGAATGCTTGGATGATTATAATAAACAAAATAACACAAATAGGCGCCTTGTTAGTGTTCACAGTGAAGAATGAACTCGATGTCTTCCGTTTTAAATGCTAAAGGATTATACACTAACTAATAAAGTAGCGCCTAGGAGTATTTATGCATCGAGGGAACATACATTTCAGACCTTAAGTATTGAACAATGAACTAGTTATTAGAATATTTTCTACTGGCGTTTTTCGTATTACCCATTGGAAACGTTTAGTATTAAAATTCATGTTCCCCTGTATTGGTGAATATATTTAACTAATTGTTGTAGCTAGAGAAGTTACCACTATCATATTCTCAGAGTAAAAGATCCAAACATAACTGGACTAGAAATGTAATAGTTTCTTACCAACATCCTCCCGTTTAGTCTTCAATGATAACTAAAACATAAATTATGGGATAAATATCAGCCTTACTGATTCATCATTCTTTCGTCGGAGACAGACAATAAACAAATAGAAGTTAAGCAAAACCACTGTAGTGGATCTCAATAGGTGGCATACCATGAGCTTATTTATTTTCACCAAACAATAATAGTTAGTGACTAACATATATTGGCTAATTCACCTTTCATTAGTGTCCTAGTTGGCATTCTAAAGAAAGAATATCACCAAACTGGTCGTGTCCTAGAATTTTAGTTCATATTGGTTTGACTGTGCTGTGACCAAGTCAAAGGGTAAACAAAACTCATACCGATTTGCACGAGTTAGTACACCACTATGTAGACTTCTTGATGACACACATCTATGGATGAGGGGATTCGTCTTGTCAACTGGATACAAAAACTGAGAGCCAGATATAGAAATGTGCTCTGTTGTTTTTATGCTTCAATTAATCAAATGGCGGATTTGTGACGACTTGACGTAGTTCTGATGATAGGTTTTCAACCGAGTCATTATTGTCTCATTTCTTAATAATGAAAATCCTTAACTAGTTCGAAACATTTAAGTTGGTTTACATTGAAACTACCTCAAACGTGTACTTATTTACTGACATTTGTGCATCCTGCGATCCTGTATTTACTCCTTCGTAGCATAAAGTGCTTGCGATTACTTTTGTTTTTTAATTAGTGAAGTGAAAATTTCATGGCGTATCATACAGTGAGAAATAGTGACGTGAGGGTCAGTTATGATATCGATAAGGATAAAAAACAAGCTGTGGTGACCGACTTACATAAGATTATCTTTTTGATTGCCATTCCGGTTATTACAACTGACCGATTTTTCAGAGATGAGGTAAAGTAGCAATCAATCTACATGATGCGACATCAAGATAATTTGATCATTAAGTAAAATCACTAGTTATGAACTTACGTTCAGTATATGTTAAAATCCATCAACAAGGTGTGTATCGAAGTAGGAGGAAATTTGTTTCCTAGGACCAGATGTGGGGAATTTCTGTTCAACTTGAGATATACACCTTTCAAATGAAGTTTTTAATTCCGGTATGCGTAGAATACTTTCCTAAATACATGGTTTAGGTTAATAACTGGCGTATCCATTTAGAAAATAAATATTTACTCAGTGTCGATACATTTTAAAGTCAGTGTCAAATATGGCGGAGCGTAGAAGCTCAAGTTATGAACAGAACGCGGACGTAAACATGTGGAAGTATGATATTAGTCCCCCCTAGGGAAATTAGTGGAGACATCGCACACAACAATCGGGATAAATTAAATTACGAGTTGTTGCTGCGTCATTCGAGAATACCAACGCAACTATAACGTAATAAACCTTTGACAATCGCTCTTACCGATAACCTCGATATGAACATCAAAATATCCTGGAGTTAAAAACACTTAAAGAACTATGGAAGTTTTAAAGTAGGATTGCAGAGCTAGTTTCTAGTCCAGGATTCTTTGATAATCTGTATTATTAAAGTTTGACAGCAGTTTATTAAAAAGCTATGTAGTAATTACTGTTATAACGTCTAGTCCTTAGTGCTTATTCATACACTTTGGATCAAGTCGGTCGCAGCGCCCATATCTTGGTAGCAACGTCTCTTTCGCCTAAACTAGCGCAGTCCCCATAAAGTGGATAACTAAAAATTGTAGACAGAGAATATTTGAGTTGTAATCGATATGGGATCACCCAGAATTGAACATACCAGTCAGCTATTTGTTGTTTGCTACATTTCTGATCAAAAATCACTATGTCACTATAGCCTGATAATTGGTTAAATTTGTAATGGGTTGCACAAGTTTTAAACAGAGATCTTTGATCCATACAGTTGTGCATACGTTCATATGTTTAAAAACGCCACATATTGGTATTCATTGGAGACTACTGCTAAAAATAATATTAATTCTATAGAGCCACTCTATTTATGCAAAGCAACAGAGAAAAAATTAGTACGATGACCTTAGAAACTCAGTTTATTAATTCGACTTTGAAACTACAAGGTAATTGAAGCATGAATCCAAGTTAAATGGGCTTCAGAATACACATTATAAACTACTAGTAAATTGCACCTTAACCAACTAATACACATAACGAATACGATAAATATTCACCCTACTAAGAACACCATAAACGTTCGAGATTCTAACCACTTTTGACACTGAATAAAACAAAATGTAGGTAAATCTAGAGGCATGTTTGCCTATACATACAGATGAAAACTTTAACAACATGCAAAGTGATCGAAAGAAAGAATCACACACTTTTATGTTTATAGATTACACATTAAAATTCACATTGATGTAAAGGCATTTCAAAAGGAAGAACAAGAAAATATTCTCAAAATAAGGAATAAGCAGTAAGTAATTTTGTGAAATGCTTATTATGTACATAACTGGGTACGTATCTCACCTTCCGTTACTGTGAATAAACCAGTTTGGACACAACAGTTAATTTGAACATATTTTCTGCTTATGTGAATAGGAGAAATACGACTGAAATAATCAAAACTAAAAGACTAAACTCGGGTGATTTTTCATATTTTTAACAGATTAAAAAAAGATAATAGGTAAATTAGTAAGATATGTACACGAAAATTATGTAAGAAATAAACGAACTTTTGGAGGTATGTATAAATATGAATCTATGTACAGAACTGTATCGCAGTTTACTTTGAGCGTCTAAAAGCTGTTGCATGACGTTTCTGAGCTTGAGATAAGCGGGAAAAACTATTGGAGCTTGAATTATTTGAGAGCAACACCTGAGATCCAACAGAAGTGGGGAAGCAAAGCAAGGCACTTTGATGTGATTTTTCATACAACTTGCGAAAGTTGTTATTTTTTTCATTAACATGATTTTTGGAGCTTGTTCTTTGGTTCGAAAAAGCGATATCTCGAGTGTTTGAATACATGGGTACAATATAATCATCAGAGGGGTTCGTTGATCTCTGGTTTAAAGAGTTACTTATGTTCGGGTCTGAGGGAGTCAACACACGTAAACATCGTCTTTTACGACCTTGATGAGGTTTTCTGAAAGTAACCCCTGAGGATTTTAACGAATCAGTGTTAACTGTTGGGGCTGAAATGTTTTTCTTTTCTATTTGGTTAAAGGTTGTTAGGGAAGCACTAAAAAACATGGTGAGAAATCCTAAAGATTAATCGTAACATTATCATTGACATATAGACGAAAGATACACAACAATTCTACAGATAGCATTAAATCATTAATATTGTCAAAATGGTTGGTATTGTAGATATACATCGTAAAACGGTAATCTTAACTGGCAAACTAGCTGGTCATAAACTTAAGTGAATCCTTGTTGAAAATGAAGTAAGCAGTAGGTGAGATCCACCACTAGAACTCTCAGAAATTAACTTGACAAATATACTTGTGACTAATTGGTGCTTTACGAAATACTGCTGATTACTTTATCCAAAGATTTTTCCAACTGTTTTACAGACTAATAAATTCACTCATGAAGTACCACCGTAACAGTTTAGATATTATGATAATTAGTTACAGCTACAGTTACATTAACTAATCAAAAATATAGTAACAGTCACTCAAGAAACAGACATGCGTATTTCGTATCTACTAAAACAAATCGACAGTTTTATACTCCGGACGATATTGGGTATTAACATGAGGATTACAAATAGTCTGACGAAATTTGTAAGCAGTACAGGTCATCTGGAATATTAGCCCGATTTTTGGGTGACATTTAACTAGACATTTCATAAAAACAACAAAGAATTTGAAGTTATTAACTCACAGTTCATCTGCTAGTACGCTGTATTCTCCAGGTTTTTCAACATTGGATTCGCCGTGAGTATTGCCTTGAAGATCTCCTTCATCACTTGAAGACTCGGAGTTGACTATTTCAACGTGCTCGGTGCAACTGTCAGAACCAGATATGCTAACAGGTTTTTCTGTTGATGAATTGATTGGTGAACGAGAAGCCGCGCCATCGGTAACACAGTTATCTTGTGTATCAGATACTTTAGGTGCTTGGGATGCATTAACACGGGGATCTGATGGCCAAACAAGAATCGGCAAATCCAGTTGTTCGGTTCTAGGAATAACAGGTATATGTGATTGAGCGGAGATATTATTTCTTTGTCCAATGGATGTTGGCAGTGCACAATCTATTCTACTGACTGTGTTCAAGTTGGACTGTGTGGCCCAGGGAGTTAATGGTAGGATAAAAGCTTGAGATCTGCTACTGATATGTCCTTGCAATATTTTTGTATTTACTGAGAGAGAAGCACGCAGGTGGTGAGCATAATCTTGGATCCTTTGACGAAATTCGATAGACTTCTACAGGTTTTGAAAAATCATTCCAAAATGATTAACACCGGTGACAACATTGCAAATAATACTTGGAAAAATATGTATGCAAAAATCATCAAATAGGTTAGAAGTGCAGCCTGTTTTGAATAAAAACAAAAACAACTTATCACAGAAATACAAAAATCCATGCCAACACATACAAACCAGGCAATGAAACTAGTGGAATTAGTTATTACGTGGTTATAATTTATGGTGGTCAGGAAAAATTTGATAAACATTTCTGCAGTAATTTAGTCAAATATTTTGAAAATCTTATTTAGTTTAGTGGTAGCTTCTATGCAAGGTTATTTGTAGCTGATAAGTTTCTGAGATAATACGAGTTACATGATGAAATTGGCTGGAACGTATGTTCCTGAAGGTTCTACCATACCAGGCAGGTCGATTGGAGAACGATGTGACTGTAAGCTGTTACTCAAAACCTGAGGGCAAAGTCGTACTGGTGATTGAAGAGGGGTGTGACGGCAGTGAACATCAGCAACAAGCAGCGGCAGCGATGCTGCATTCTCACAAGGAAGGGGGGGTTAGAAAAGGTCGACCCTAAAGATATCACACCTCACCTTACCTCACGGATTTCCGTCTCCTGTGGTAGGGGCTCTTAAATAACAACCGACCTAATACTCTAAAAACATCTCATAAAAAGTCTGTGCGTAACCGGCCTCTGTGGTCACGTTCCCAGGACGTTAGGACCAACACTGATCCAACTAACTTTTCAGGTTTCCCAAGAAAAACCCTTTTACGGTATGGGCAAACGATAAACGACATCCGCCCTCATACCCATACCAGCACACAAGACCGAACCGGTCACAATCAAATCCAACCTTCAACTACCAACATCTCTCTCTTATCTCCACGACTGACAATTCTCACATTCCTTAATCACCCTGCACCTCTAATGAAAACGATTCAACTTCACGATACGTCACTCCTTTTCTCAGAAACCACATTCTGAACTACATATTGGAGCTTTTGATGTTCGGACCCTATGCCGAATAGGGCAACAGGCTTTATGAGCTAGGGACTCTGCAATCACATGCCATGGATGTGTTTTGCGTCTACAAAAGCAGAATCATTAATTTGACTACATCTTGTCCAGATAGGGAATCGATTCAGTTTACGCGTCGTTTATCTGGAGGCCTTGCTGCAGCTACTTATGGTCTCACTGGGATGAATGAAGTTGAGAAGGCTATAGGAAATCCAGAGCGAAGAAGAGTGACAGGCCCTGATAGGCTAAGCCCTGAGATTTGTAAGGATGGTAGTCCAGTTTTAGCAGTGAGTTTGAATGAGATCTTAGGTAGAATTTGAGAACTGGACGTAATCCCATCCATTTGGTCTCAAACCCTGATTGTATCAATTTATCAGCAAGGACAAAAGTCCTCTGGTGAAAATCATGGAGAAATCAGTCTAACTAGTATAGTTTCTAAATTGTTAGCTTCGATAAGACTTGAATGGTTTGCAAACACTAAGTCTTCATAGAATATTTACTGGGAAATATGTTCAACCAGGTCTAAGTAGTATATAAGTGAGGCAAGATTAATTTTAATCCCCACACCTAGTATTATGTCCCATAAAAATTTATAAACCTAATTTAGATACATATTTGGTCGGTAAGCTATGTTAAATAATCAGTTTATGTAGCAAAAAAGTAGACGATATGATGGATTTTTTACAACAACTGATATGTTATCTAGAAAGGATAGATCGTTAACAGACTAACGAAATAATGGCTATGAAAACTTTACTACAAACAACATTCATTTACTTCGGAAACGCGAATGATTCGTCCAAGTATTGAGACATCTGTGTTACAGTGTAGGAAATGGTACTGAGGAAGTACAGCACTACTAAGTACAACATAGGCATATTCAAATGCCTGTTTAATTTGAAGCGCACAATACGATCGACGACCGACATCATTACCTGTCAAAAAAGCATTAAATACATGTAGGAAAGATAGTTGGCAATAATTAATATTAATCCAATTTTTTAATATCCGCAGTTGCGAACTCAACAAACGAATATTTTTAAGTGTATTACATATTTTTTGTCTGAAATCTTGCAACAAAGGAACAATGACAAGAGAGGTTTGATTGATAGTTGAGAGTGAGAACACCAATTAGACCAGTGCAGAATATCAAGACACTTTCTGAATAGTTTAAAATTTTCGTAGGACGGAATAAGTTAATACTGGAGTAAAACCAACAAAAATGATACTAATTTGAATAACAGCTTCAAACATTATATATAATCATGTCATTTACATCACCCTATGTTCTAATAAAAAACGTCTGGTTGATTAGCATAATTTAGGAGGTTTTGAATGAAAACGCCATGGTTTGTTGAATCGACCGATATAGACTTATTAACTGTCAGACGTAGATATAAACAACAATCTAGATAGATAGTGTAGGATAGTTTTCGTATTAGAAGTTGTTAGTTCTTGTGGTAATCACAGATTCTACTCCTTATTTCAGATGATTACATGATACAACGGTTTAGGATTATTCCACTGTATACTTGAAACTGCAATTAATCATATGAAACTAACTGTTGATACTTTAACATTTCCTGTAACCAGGCTTACAAATCCAACGGTTGTGAGTCTCAATTTAGTTATAAACGGTATGTTAACTGAGAGGATGTGACCATGTTTCAATACAATTACTAAGATTTGTTGTGGAAACTTGAGCATTTCGAACAAGAATGCCTATTACCATTCACGAAAGTGTTGGTGAAGAAAACTCGTGCAATTAGACGAAGAGTTACGTAATCAATCAATGCACAAAACAATGACTTTGTTCTTGTTTTAAGAATATAGAAGTCAGGGATTAGTGAACTCGAATGAGACAGGGTCAGTAGTAATAATAATGAATTCAGTACCTGTTTTTATCGAAATATGAACTAGCACTTGTACATGTAACTGCTGTTTTCTCACGTCAAGTTATTGCTTTTTAGTGTTGCCAAGATAAATCTCACATTGAATGGATGGACTATAGGGCAGCGTTTTACTTCAATTAGTCTCTCAAAAGATATGTAATTTTTTATAAACAAATAAACACGAAAGCCAAATACATTAAAAAATAAAAATGTGTAAATGTTATTACCAAGGTCCGGTCTGACAATTATAAATAATCATCATGTATATTGCGACACTAGATGTAATTTGATTTCCATAAACAGGTAACTGAATAACAAACCAGTCAATTCGGTCAAAATTAGATACCGAACTGATTGAACTGGAGTAAATAGATGGTCGGTTCACATTAAAAGCAGAAATGCAGTAGTTAAATTTGACCAAGTAATAATGAGTAGGAACATTTATTGTGACCAAGGTATCTGCAACAGTCAGCAACTTTGGAGAATAACTGTAGGTATTTATCCACCTGCTTCCATTTTCAATCACAAACCCCTACGGTAGCCACTTTGATTTTTTGAATTAAATAGCATTTCTACCCACCACGTGATACTTCAAGCTATGTCAAGTGATTTAGTTTTCTTATATAATCCATATAAAGGTTTTACGTTTTTCGAGTGAAATAACACTCAGTCGCGGTAAGGTAGTGGCTAGAGGTAATCGATACAAATCTTTGGACCTGGGTTTCATGTTGTCAGGCCTTTGCTTAACATTATTCCATCATACTCGAGAAGTGCTTCGAAGGGACCGAAGATTACTTGGTATCACTCCGGATATTTTTAGCCGACATACAAATCTCAGCTAAAGAAATACAGGGCGAACTACAGCGTAGTAGACTTGCACCTTGTCAAATAAGCATTTTATGCTATAAGGTGGGTCTTTAGGAAATTCACTACTGTCATCAGTGCTGATAAAACATGCAAAACAGACGAAGTCTTTATTGTGCTTAGCTTCTTATGGTCATATCGAGGATTAATGAAAACTAATCATGAAATGAAATCTTGCACTTACCAGAGGAGCAACTGGTTGTGAACATCTCTGCATTACTCAAGTTTGAATGACTTAGCATCATGACGAAGAACTATATTCCCTGAGTACCATTAGTAGATTAGCTAATTTACTGGTAAGACCCCTTAAATAGATCACCACTAAATACATGCACATGATTTAAATTATAAATAGAGGAAAGAAAAACGCTTGCGAATACCACTGAACACGGCATATTGAATAGCAGTTAATCCAGAAGCCCTGATTCAAACAACAGTATTAAAGTAAAAACGTTCAGGTAGGTTTAGTTACTTCCTCAGAATATATTTTGGAAATAAACAGACAACACATTCTTGTGAACGAAGTTAAAATGCTCATTTTAAATGAGGAATATCAGCTATATTCCAGCACGTACGCACAAGGTCTAAATACATTAAGGATCGTTAAATTATCTCCAGCTAAGTCCGAAACCTGCTTGATTATCTCAGCTTCAGCTTTTCAGTTTCAGAGACCCAGTCAGATACTGAACAACTAATATCTGAGATACTACACCAAACTTAACACTTTTAGTCACAACAGCACTCTTTTCCTATAAATCGGGGCAACTCGTGATACTAACCCGCCAGATGAGTCAAAGTCTCGGTTTTCATTTACTTTATTTACGCTGGAATACTGTTCATACCACTTAGATAACGAATGTATGACGTTGTACTACTACTACGACTGCTACCACCGTTTGTCGATCCCGACAATCGGTAACATCTACACTCGATGGACGTTTTATGTGCAAGTCTACTGTGATTTATGTGTAAACTTTCCAGAGACTTTTTATGTAATCAAGAAATTTACACAAGTTACGATTTTGAATTTGAAGGTTTCGTAGGTGAATGATTTTACGATCAGTTTAAAAATTTTCAGAGTTTGTACAGATGGAAATGAATTTTTTTTAATTAGGAATTAGTACATGCTGAGAATTGTACACTTCTATAATTGAGGAACTTTTGGTGTGCACTCTTGATTTATAAAAAATTATTTGAGTTATGTTAACTCTGGTGAGGTAACTGATCTGATGTCTGTGTTTTATGAATTGATTACATTGTATACAACTGTTGACTTTACAAGGATTTATATTTAAGAGTGCTAAATAAACCTTAAGCAATGTCATGTAGTGATACCCACTGGATTAAAAAGCTTTGTGGATGAAAGTTATGGAAACGGGCACGTAATCTGTATACCATATGGGTTACAGATTACGAAAAACAAAGAACATCAGATAGTGTTAATTTGAATAATAAGACAACTACAGAGACAACCTATAAATAACATCACTTAAAAGACATTTATTTGAGAGTTGATACTTACCAGGACAGAGCGGATCCTCAATACAGAGAAGAGACGGACGCAAACCTCTCTCCATATTTTGTTGGACAACTTCTTTACGAACATAACAGCCACCATTTGTAATGCGGATTGCTGTATTTCTGTAATTGAAATGACGACCGTACAGTTCAAAGAATTCGACCAACAGAATGCCTAGATTGACGTCATCAATGGAAATTTCCGGACGTAATGTGTGCTACAAGAAAAATATGACTTTATTTGTGAGACTAGCAAACACTATGAGCAATCCCATAAGCATTATGTACATGCATTACCCATATGATTTTTCGACATCGCTGAGCGGTGGTGCGTAATAGACTACTTTATTAACTACGGGAGATAGTATGCAACCATACACTACATATAGGACTAAATTTAAGAAGCCAGAAAAAAAACACACTTCAGGTGTCCAAATACTAAGTAACACTAACATGTCTGGTGAACAATGTATCTTTAAAGATTCTTTTAGATAGCCGACAGGATTAACTAAAAGTTTGAGATCTATGGAAGGATCAAGCGAGGTTGTAGGTACAAACCATGCTTCGCATACCACATGATACAACTTGCGTTTTCATACTAGATTTTAGTTGTCAGTCATTATCACGACAGTGTGTGGGTTAACGTTTTATTGGTAAAATGACAAATTTTAGAGTTTTGGGGTTAAACCCTAATAGATAACTTACTTGCAGAAAACTAACGCACATTAGTATGAGTGCATACGAACTCAACCCACCAGTCCACACTTCGTTCAAATTTCGTAGAAGCAAAAATTGTTTTAGAACAAATACCAGGTAAGGGAGGCAAGGGTACTTTTTCATGAAAACTCTAATGAGCTCTGCTGCTCTGACACTATTAATCATGTTAAAGCTGATATCTACACGCAGTTCTGTTTCCTTATCTGTCATCTTCACAATCGGTACCTGAAATTTAGAATTTAGATGGCTAATAGGAAACTAACAGTAGCTTTATCCAGAACCTTGATTTCGGATGAAATGCCACTTTTAAATAAGGCTTGTTCCAAAGTATGTAGTGGCAAGGCATCCCATTTCCCGAATATGACCATATCAATATCACTGAAAACATGTTGAAAAAAACATGGACAAACCTTGTGGGCAGGTATAAGCCTGTCTTAAAACTTCCAAAGACGTCAACCTTGAACCTATAACAATCATTAATTTAACACCTACTTGGCAATTCGGCCACAAACCGTACACGATGTCCCTGACCTTGGCAACGACAACTTCACGAGCAAACTGTTCTGCTGGATTTGGTGATATGTATTTGAGAAAATCCTTTATCTCAGCATGCAATCTAACTAATAAAGCGGAAACACTACAAACCCAATGACTCCGAAGTCGTAGTCTTTGCCCGATGACTTCCAAGGTATGTCCTCTAACTTGAAACTTTGCCCCAGAGGGAAGACGTAATTATTATACTCGCCAGGCTTCAAAGAATTATCTCCATTTCTATTATATCCGCCTTGGATTGCCACACCTTCCATGACAATAAGTCACAAAACGACAGGTGGATTTCACAAGGCTCTTGATGTAGCAGTTAATGACTAGCCAGAGAGTACCTTGTGTCCTAGGGCAACATTCAGAGTGAACGTGGAAAGCTGGAAAACAGAACCAAAAAGAAATGAACTGACTACCCGAAGAGTGCATAAAATGCACTTACAATCAATAATAAGAAACAGACAACAATCAATGGTCATGCAATCTTCAGATTTAAAACATTTGGTATCTAAACTCTGAGCCGAAAGCGTGAGGTATTCAAACTGTCGCACCGTGCGAAATGACGCGCCTCTCAGTTCAAAAGCTATTAGTGTTTTCAAAAAGTATGTTCAATAATCCAGTTCACAGACTGATATTTTCATTGAAATGAAAAAAATTGTATAATATTTCGGTCCTCCAGCATAAAACGATATTATCGTTACTAAATTTTGCAAATAAGCTTCATAGAAGTAGGATGCGTGTACAATTTTGAGAGACTATTACATTTGGATTGTAATTACTCGACATCAAATGATTCCAGCTGTTCAGAATGCAGACTATAAGACATAAGTTGACGTAGTAGTAAGAAAAGTTACAAAAAAATGTGTTTCAAAGTGTAGCACGATAAACTTCCATAGACGTTGCTCTAGTTTTTATTCAGCCTGACGGATTCTGCAGACAACAAAACCTGCAGGAACAAGGTTTTTTCTGTCAAACAAAGGCCTTGATTCACACAAAACTAACTTACAGATCTGTTTAATTCCTTAACTCATTTCTTGACATGAAGAAAATCTATAACCCTCCAAAAATGTTTCTGCGAAATAACCAAAATTGGTGTCATCACAAGAACATAATTCGTCGGTCGCATAGAACTTGTAGTGAACTCTGCAGTTTTACATTCCCAAACATTCATCCAGAACAAACCATCAAAAGAACTCTCCCGTTGATACACGTTGACAGCGATTTCAGCTGATGAGAATAGGTGACATTTAATCATCTCTGATATTATAAGGTGGATTAATTAACTCATCGACGCTTGTACAAAAGTTAACGAAAGCGAACTATCGAATAAAAGTCACGCAAAAGATACTCATAGTCTTACTACCTGAAAAGTACGTTCCCGTTGACATGGATAAACCAAAACTCATTCATCATTCATATTATTCTGGACGTGACAATGTCAGTTGTTGACAAGGTCCCTCTTCAACACCATAACCTATTGGTCAACCTGAACAGACGGGGTTGGGAGCCGGAAACACTAAATAATGTGATTGTGCAGTTTTGTTTTACAGTTGTAGGTGAAGTTCAGTCACGATTAAGCAAAAAAAAAGCTGAGGAACTACTTGAGGATAGAAACTTATGTGAACCGATCGACAAAAACCCACTGAAAAAGTAGGACAAAACAAGATCAATAGAGAATGAAATCTGATGGACCAGTGCTTCCAAGATTCAACGGTAGGCCAAAACTCCACAAACGCAACATCCCACTACGCCCTATTGTATCCCTCCACGGAACCACGACCTAGAATTCATCAAAAGACATTTCGATGATAATAGGCATCTGGTGGATGAATCCAACTAGTCCGTTAGGTCTACCACACTATTCTTTGGTAAACTCAGGGGGAATTCAAATCGACGACGACGAAGCGATGATATCCTTTGGCATAACAGCCGTATTCACCTCAGTAACGCAAAGTTTTGCCAAAGAAACTCTTTCACTGCTTCTGGCCAGCCAAAATATTCAAGACTTCAGAGCCAAAGTCTTCTAGAACTCATCGACCCATGCTTAACCACGTATTTTCAGTTCAACAATAGAGTCTACGAACAAACAAAAGGAACACCAATGGAATCACCAATATCAGGACTCTTCGCGGAAGCCGTGATGCAGAGACTAGAAGCATCGATTTTACTAGTGAGTGAGTTCGATATGCAGACGACACATTTGTCATTATCAAAACGAACGAGCTGAAGAACATCTTCGATTAAATTAACGTCTTCTATGACATTAAATTCACGATGTAATTCCTGGATGTAATAATCACCAGAACTAGCACAGGAAATCTAGAATCTCAAGTATTTCAGAAACCAACCAACACAGAAGTTATTCTTAACTAGGGTAACAATAACCCAAGAACTCGAAAAACCATCTGCATACAAACTTCGTCAAAGCGAGCGAAGACACACTGCAGCACAGATGAAGCACAGAAAAACGAGGAAAAAAGTCTTGTGACTATCTTCCAAAAGAACGGATATCCACGAAACTTTATCAAAAACATCAACCGGCATCATCAGCATAAGCGAAATCAAGTACAGGAACCAATAAACATATCATTTTACCATACATAAAAGACATATCGGAACATACAGAAACACTACTAAAACCATTTGGAATAGGTGTGGCACACAACCCAACAGAATCACTTCAATCAATCCTATGTAGACCAAAGGACAAAATGACAAACGAAGAAAAACCAGATATTATCTACAAAATGAATTGCTCAGACTGTGAAAAACACTACAAAGGACAAAGTGAACGGCCTCTCCAGAATCGTTTACGTGAACAACGATTATCAGTCAAGCGCCACGACAATGCTTCGCTTATATCGATACACACCGACAGTTTTGTACATACATTCGATTGGAACAATATGGAAATACTGAATAGTGGTGGGACAAAGAACACAATAGAATTTTTAGCTTGGCACTCAGGTCAATCTGCAATCAACAAACACATCGATATTGACCCAAATTATCAACCAGTCAGGAAAATCATAGGTGACAAAGGATCAAGAATCAGATCAAAAGGTGGATGCAAACAAAGGTGCAGACGACGACAGGTTTATGGTCAACAGCAACTAATCAAGATCGAGGTTAGAAGAGCAAGCTATAGGTCAAACGTGGGTAAATTCGAATGCCTCACTTCTATGTGAAGTTTTGCTGATGAAGTTATTTAGAAGAACACTGAAAGCTCCACAACCAAAACAACCAGCTCAGAGAATCAAACACCACCACAATCATCCACATGAGCTACAACTTTTCTCCACTATCTGAAAATCATATGAGCGTAACGCGTTGTATGGCAAATATTACGGAATAGTGACTATTTTACACATAATTTAAAAGACTAACATCAAGAAAATGAGATAATCATTAACTCTAACTACATTATGTCGAAAGCATTTTTCACATTTTAAGAAGCGATCGCTAAGTCAACACTGCATCAACTAGTATCGCCTTAGATGCTCTTGACTGAAGGTCACGGGAGCTTTACAGCAATACGTAACTAACGATTACGAAACTTTGTATATCTCCTCTAGACAGTTCCAAGCCACAGGACTGGGGGTAACATTTTTAACACGGAAGTAATCTCTATGTTTCGTGCAATACGGCCCTTTCAACACTTGGTGGAATATCAAGGACTACAGGCTTTCAAATGCCTTGTCTCAGAAAATACCCCAAAGGTCGACCTTCTTAAACTTGCCCAGCCCCAAAATGTCACTGAACTCCAATTCAAATTGTTATTAACAAATGTAAAACTACAAATCTGATAGATGAAAAAACTACATTTTACTACACATATATTCAGGACGAAGTATTATCGACGCGATGTTTTCAGTACGTTGCCGTTGTTCGAGCAACAGACAAACACGTGTCTGATCTAGTATGAATGAAGAAGCACGGTAGTGGGCTCCATCTTGGTTAGACTCCCAGAAACCTGGGGTGATCAAATGCAATTAATGTTCCAAAGCCAACTCCGCAGCTCATGACTCCTGCTTCTACTACGTTCATCTTGATTTATTAGGACCATGATCGGATTCACACAGATACTTTTACCTCTTAAAGTGTGTAGATTGTTTCGCACGACTATCAGAAGCTATGAGTATGAAAGATTTTACTGCTGAACTAGTGGTCCTTGATTTCGTCAATGGCTACCAAGTTTCAACCAATACTGCAGACCGTGGACAACATTCCGGATTCGGACTATTCTCCTGACACTGTACACCTACATGATTCCAAACGACATGCTATGTGTTTAAAAGAACGATTTTTCCGAAGTGTCACTTTCAGCTACAAACGCAATGCAATGGACTGAGGCTCTTTCACTCGTATTTACCGAAACTTCTAATGCAGTGGAAGCTGGGGTTGTATGTCCTGTAGTCTAGATAGTTTCCAGCCAGACACTCGGACTTTTAGAAGAGTTCATAAATTCTTTATATTCTTCAGTGCATGAGTCTAAACAACTACAAGAGCTGGCTTAGAATCGCATCGCATTCAGACAGATCTATTCCCACTAGACCGTAGTCAATTGAGGCCTTCGAACATCCCATTTTACAACTTAGTACACATATTTTCCTATGTCACAACTCATTACGTCGACGCTGCATATAAAGGACTTTTGTCGGTCAGTATTCGATATATTCCTAAACTTCGTGCACTACTCATCCTGATAAATGTCGTAAGATAACGTCAATATTGTATTAAAATTAAGCGTTGATTAAGTATATTATCGCAGAACAAATATCACAAAACCACAGGCCTACGAAACGAAAATAATATGCGAGTGTCGCAGAGCAAGCGAGCGAAAGCAAAAGATTAATATGTAAAAATACATACATAGGAAAATGAATGAGTCATGGAATAATAATTTAAGCGAGTAGAATGAATACATGTATAGGCCGTTAGCAAAGCTCAGCCATTCCTACTTATACAAAGACTACAGTAATAAAAACAATCGTACTTCTGTCCGAATGACTGCCTGTTAAGCAACGTAATATAAAGGCGTAAATAAACTGGAATGTGAGGTGCTACAATAGCTGCCTCCCTAGAAAACAAAGATACAAAATTACCTGTGATTTCGGAAAAAAATTTTAATTTAACATGTCGAAAACATCGAAAATTTCTAAATTAAGGTGTAAGATAAAATATCGTTTAGGTTATCGAAAGTAGGTTTAAGCTTGTGTTCGCATACGTCCGTGGGGCTAAGCAATATAGTAAGTGAGGATCAAAAGAAGACTTTGAAGCTTTTAGTGTTTATACACTTTGACACAGGGATATACAAAATATTTCGAATATAATAGTGAATTTTTCGATGTGCACACACGAAACGAAGAAAAAGCATATTCACATTCGAAGAGGTTAAAGAAACTGTTAATTTAAAATCTTAGCTGTATATCGTTGCGAATTTTTAACTCTTTGACAGTATGTCTTCGTAACTGAATTCCCGTCTTTTTCCTCTCCCGATATAGCATGGAACTCATGTTTCGGTGATTTGACGGTTTTCGAAGTATCTGCATTTACTGGTTGATCGTCAGCTTCGATGAAAGCTGGTATGACTCGGTCGATGCCAATTATATCCGTTTTCGCAGCTTCATCTACCGTAATAGTTTTATAATTTCTTATAATCACTTCGGTTGCACGATTGTAGAACGGTTATTAGAGACGCTGTACAGTATCCCTTCTGGTAAACACAAGGGTACTGTAGTTCACTTGTTTCGGTATGCATGAACGGTTCTGATGTTGCTTCGGGTGCGTTACACATATTGTATATAATTGGCTATATCTGTTGTAACACTTGCCGGAGGTGGGAAACTCTATTGGGAGACATAAAGTAGTTCCATAAACCAAATTCGGGATAGCAATATTCTATCTTTTTTAATTGCTGATATTAAGCTCAGCATTACTACTAGGAACTTGCTGGCTCAATTATTATTGTTATTAACAGCTGTAAGAGACATCTTTGTTGCCGATGTTATCTCGTAATCATACTATTCGCCGTTGGATGGTAGCATCTTGTGTGAATATGTTTGATACCGAGGAACTCTGTGGGTTGTTGAAAGAAGCGAATTTTGAACTAAGCATCTCTATCTGTTATTATTTAAGCAGGTACTCCATAATAAGGTTAACGAAAGTGATCTACTACGGAACAAGTGTGACGATGCACTTTAACATTCTGGTATTTTACACTAGCCTGCATCCAGTTGCGAATATCCTGCTTCATACTAGGCCATACAAATCTTCGCTGGTTTGATTGTGGCCTTTATTACAGGATGAAATATACTTTTCATACACTCAAAAAACTTCGTCTCAGTTGCTTAGGAATAAATGGTCATGGTCAACCTGCAGAGATACCGCACGTGGTACTTACTTATCTCTGAGTACAGAAGAGGTTGTATAGCTTGATTTGTTTTATTAGCTCAACATCCATTTTTTGCAATGCAGCTTGTTTGTGATAATCGATTTCAGATTGGATTAAAGCATTCATCATCTTTCTGGATTCGTAAGTATTGTATTCTACTACAACTAAATCGATAGATGCGTATTTGGTGATAGCCCCTATTGTCGCTACTGAACGGTCTCTGTCCAAGAGACGGTTTCATCGAATCCCAGAGAAATAAATACCAATTGAAGGCCCCGGAACTTCTGCTATGACCAGTTCCCAGCGAAGTTAAGTACCCCAACCGTACCTCAAGATTATTTCCCGAATATTTTTGAGTCGGATTTTCGCACTGCCCTAAGCGTTAATGCCATATTAATATTTTGTGTTTCACTGATCAAAGGATGCACGGCGCTCAATCCAGCGTCTACTACGAATTGAGCATCTATTTTTCCTGTTTGGATGTAAAATAGACAACCGCCCCTAGGAGCTAAGCCAGAAGTCGCAGCGATTACAGGAGAACCGCCTTCCTGTTGTATTAGTTTTAACTAGCATGGGGGTCTACACTCTCAAACCGTCACCATACCTCTGATGGTATCGGATTATCGTATGAAATGAGTCTGCTAGAGCATGATCGGTTTTTCTCTCTCGAACTACTTCGTCAATCGGATTCAGATTCGGGCATAAAATAGTAATCTCTCTTCGTAACGTTTTGACTATGGAAACTACTGTGGTGTTATGTGTTTGCGGACTCGTGTTCCGTTCTTACATACCCTATCGGATATTTTAGCAAGACTGTCTATGCCGACATCACTATTCCCAACATCGAGGGTCCGCTGCACACTCAGAGGGAGTGAACGGAGCCATAACAGACAAAATAGGCTACTGTCTACTTTCCTGCCTCATATTGGACTTCTCATGTTATTTTTTAGCTGGTAAATAGACCGGCCTCATATTTGCACTTGATTGAGAACTTTCTGGGTTATATAAGTCAGTTTTGGCACAGATAAGTTATTTTTATACGAATGACTGACTGTCAAATGAATTAATAAAAAGGTATAACCAAATTAAACATAAAGAAACTTAAATGTCTATGAGGTGCTACAGACTGATTTTATCTCAAACCTATGCACTTCATTATCTATTAAAAGCAAGTAACCGCAGTTACCAGAAGTAAATATCCTCCATTACGCTAATCTCTAGAATTTAGATCACATATATGCTTCCTACCTTCTATTAACAGGAGTGCAGCAATTAAATACACGCGAACACCTGTTTACAAGACTTCTTTCTCAGAGATCAAACGATAACTCTCAAACGTCTACTTAAAATGCACAAAACGTCAAGGGAACGAATTGGTTAACCAATGGACCAATAAGCTGAATGCGAGCTAATACGACGCTTTCTCCAACAATAGTACTTGGTAAAATTGTGTGCTTATTAGAGAATATGCAGTCTGGAAACAGGGTGCTTATACTCTGACTGCCTAAGTAATCCGAAGAAACGAAAATGATCACCAGAAAGTTATAATTACGCAGCGAATTGGAAATCTGAAAAGATCAGCACTGAGTAATTGATATCTAACAACCTGAAAGGTGCAAAAAATTTAAAATATAGGACGGGAGAAGTTTAATTTATTCAAACAGTGAATGTAAATCGAATGTTCATGAAATTTAGCAAATATTACGACAAGTAAAGTCATAGTAATGATACGAAATGAACAGAATAACATGAGACAAAATTTACAGATACAAAAAGCTAGTTAAAGACGTACTCGGGAGCATAAAAAATTTGCACAACGTCTACACAAAGAACACACTTTCCTAATGAAACAAATCACTGTTTCTTTACATGACTTTAAGGTTGATAACCACCCAATGAGTGCCCAGGATAAACATCAGTTAGTCCTGCTCGGTAATTAAAATTTGAATGACTGACAGGAGTATCCGGGTCTGCAAGTCCTGGTCCTGATGGGTTGAGCATATCTGCATCATTGGCAAAACCGCGATAACTACCCGAATTGTCTGGCTCTCCGTAGGCAAGATTAGAACACTGGATTTCAGTTGATTTATAAGATTTGTATGTGAAAAATCCCAGAATTACCTGCACATAAAATCAACAACTACGAAAACTATCTACTAAATAACATCGAAAAACGATTCAAACAAGTATAAATTTTAAAGGGTAATCTATCAAATGTGAAAAAATCAGTGTGTAGTTTAAGGTTGAATCGCTAAAAAGTAGATAAGATATTGTTCAGTAGTTAACTCACCGATCACCTAATATAACCTGAGATTGAGTTAATGCAAAACTAAACCAAAATGGGACCTTATACAAACGGTTATCAATTACGCTACAGCGGCTCCAGGAGATTGGAAAGACAAGTAGTATTAGTGCGAGACAAGAATAGACTTGCACAATTAAAAATCATAACATAGACTCATAGGAAATGAATAGAAGCTTTGATCTCATTAGGATCGATTTTTAGGTCCTTTGCTGGTGACCATGATAACATGAATTTCAATCGGGTAAGCTGTCACTCTTCACTCGACGAATCTCATTATGAAGATCTAAGCTATTGAATTATCGGTGCATACACAATAATGATGTTCATCACTTGCTAAACGACCTCGTTTGTGAACTTTCACATCAACAAGTGTACAGTACACTAAAGGCCTATAACAGTATAAGAGCTCGACAGATAAGTTTGCAAAGTGATATACGAAATACATAGCATATACATGACAATTCTTTATTCATCGATATCGTGAAGAGATCGATGTTAGACCACCTTTGGAAACCTAGAAGCCCTTGACGGCTATTTCGTCCTAGAATGGAACTATTGAGCACTGAATATTCACGACCATGCAAGCAGGAATTGAACTCAGTAACGTCGGTCTCACGCGCGAAAACTTCGCCTTTAAATCACAGTGTTGGCATCCAAAAGTGTGATCGTTTAACTTCAACCAACCCACATCATTGTGCTACCATTTACCATTGTTTTCAGTGAGTAACTGCCTTACATCCGAAGTAACTTAGCTCCACTGGTTTATTCACGATTTCAATGAAATTCAACAACCTCCACAGCTGTGTTTAGTACAACATCAAAATTTATATAGCATGAAATTATTCATAGAACTTAGTAAAATCCATTTGAATAGCAAGTCCTGGCAGTATTAGGGTGATGAGACAAATAAACTAAATGGTGACAAATGATCCTAAAGACGTAAATTTATTCACTACAATAAATTTGAAAAAGCACATTTTACACTATGGGATTCTGATGTAACGGGTTTTTTGATATATTGTGTTCTACGAATTAAATAAAACAACTAAATGACTGGACGGGTTTATATTACAACTGAATTGGATACTCGAACGGCACACAACACAAACACTGGATCAAGTTAACCCAGAAACAGATTCAAGACTAAAATAGAAAGAAAGAGTAAGAGATATACCTTATTTCATTTTCCAAAATTACGAGTCCCGAGTAGAAATAAATAACGGAAATGAAATTACATATTTAATAGTAAGGAGGCTGTGCCTATTTGTTCACGCTCGATGACCAATTACATTTCCTTTCACTATTACACATCAAATTCTGTTTTAATAATGGAAGAGAGTAGAGACATACTAGTAACTTGTTTACTCAAACATTACCTTGATATGCACAGAAAGACAAAACTTGAAGATTTAAAGAGAGTGCAAAAAATTGAGTCTTTTTTGTCCTAACAAAACTTATGACTAGTTGGTGAAGTCAGCGAAGTTGCTGCCTATACTGAGGTAAAAAAATCGCTCTTTCTGTAATATACTACTCACATTCTATTCAGTCGGTGTTTTAGGTAAAGGTAACAATTAAGTATCCAATGGTCGATATGATTTCATAGTTCTTCTCATTGATAATTTTGATTATTATTGTCAAATTGATGGAGTGATTATGGTTAGTGTAATGAGTTTAACCTTTAAATTTGTTTTTATGGGAACATAGGACAGACAGTAGTGAAACCATTAATCAAGGATAGATATGTATGTTAGATATGTTAGATATGCCGTATGTTAAATATGCCGATGATACATTTGTTGTGCGTAATGATAATAAACATGTTTTTCAAGTACTGGTGTGGTGCGCGCTACTTATAAGTAGTATGTGACGTGAGTGTCAACGTAATGTCTGGCAGCAGAAGATGGGGGGAGATCAAGAAAGGAAGAGTGGAAACACAATGGAATTTGTATGAAACGCATGAATAGTGAAATGTCAGAAAATGGATCGCAGATTTGCAAATTAACCGTCTACGATATGATTTTCCTATTTTACCGAGTAACTCGGTAATTTGCGATAAATACAATTCGGTTGCCCTCACCTGTGTTCTCCTTCACTACAATGGGACTTCTTAACAGGACACAATCAAACATTACATTTACAATGTAACGTGAAAATATCAGCCAGTTTTATTTTCTAGGCACAATACAAACGAACAATTGAAAGAATAAAATTATTAAAAGGACATTTAGAACAGACTATACTTAGGTTTTACTAGCTTCTGTTCAATAACCTATAAAAAAGCTTTGTTTAGAAAGCTTTTTAATAGCATCAAAATATAAAGCTGAGAAGGAGATAACTAAGTACGTATGTTTAAGAGATGATGGATACAACTAAAAGTTTATAAAAATGTATGGGAAGGTTGGAATGAAGGGAACGGAAAACACTGTTGTTGAGAAAAAGCTTACTTTTCTAAACTAGCTTTAAAAGTGATGAAATGGCTGGAAAGATTTATTTCAGATTGAGTTATAATAAAAGGAACCTATTCCAATAGCAAGCTGACGTCTCTGTACTAAAACGAATCGTAGGAAAGGCTTCGCAAGGCAACCTCCTGGGGTTCTAGTTAATGATAGAATATCTAAGAATATATATGTCAGAAACAATTAAGAAAACAGTTAGGCGGTCAAGCAAGTGATTCCCATCCTGAGGTAGCTTGAAATGATACCAAAAAAGGCTGTGGAAAAAGGCAGTGATATCTTCTAGTAAGGTACACCATAAGGTCAGAGACAAGCTGTGGATATCAGTAGCATCTGCAGAACTGATAGACTCTCGTAAAATCATCCTACGTGGCTCTCTGAACATGATGAGGAATAAAGTCAGCTTATGCTCAGACTGATGAACGCAAACAGTGGTAGCTGGTGAAATCAAAAGCGATGCAAAAGGCAGCGGCAATATGCGACAGCAGACAGTTGTTCCGACTCAACAAAGAAACCGGTATTAGAAATCCATCTGTCAGCTAAATTATCTCGAAAAAGGATGGGACTATTATCCATTCTCAATTCAGGAGATTGAATCGTTGGACAGAACACTTCAGCGATCACATCGATTGGCTTTCAGCCACACTTCAGTTGCCCACCATCTCCAATCATCCAGAATGGCAAATCGATATCAGCCCTCCAAGTCTCTACGAAGTCGAGGAAGCTATAAGAAATCTGAAGCGACGGAGAGCAACCGGACCTGATAGGCTTACCCATGAGATTCTTAAGGATGGTGGTCCAGTTTTAGCAGCTAGATTGACTGAGATCTTAGACAGAATATGGGAACTGGGCATGATCCCATCCGACTGGTCTCAATCGCTGATTGTCCCAGTCTACAAGAAAGGACAAAAGGCCTCTTGTGACAATCACAGAGGAATCAGTCTAATTAATGTAGTCTCGAAAACATTGGCCTCAGTAATAATCCGACGCTTGAAGAAAGGTCGTGAAGAGCAGACTAGATAAAACCTGGCTGGTTTTGACCTGGACGTTGATGTATAGACCAAATATTCAAACTACGTGAGGTCCTAGAACAAAGACACACGTTCAGACGCCCCACAATAGTAGTATTTCTTGACCTTAAAGTGGCATTCGACTGTGTTAATCGTGAGGTTGTGTGGCAGTGTATGTCATTAAAAAGTATGACAAACAAGTATATTAACCTTATACAAGCTCTCTAATCGAACACCACTGGTCGAGTAATAGCTTATTGTGAACTGTCATCGGAATTCTTTACTTGAAGTGGTGTCCTTCAAGGTTGTCCACTCTCTCCATCCTTGTTTAACTTTGTCGTAGATACGCTTCTAAAGTTAACATTATCATCGTCTGAGTTTTCAGGAGTGGACCTGGACCTCTTACCAGGAGACACGCTTGCTAATTTAGAGTATGCTGATGACATAGTTCTATTAGGTGAAGACGTTGACAAAATGCGGAGTCTTCTGACTACCCTAAGCGACAACGCAAGCATCTTCGGGATGCGGTTCTCATCTTCGAAATGCAAAATGTTGCTTCAAGATTGGTTTGTATCGGCACATGACCTAGTGATAAGGAGTGAAACAGTTGAGCAAGTCGACCGCTTCACTTATTTCGGTAATCTCATCAGTGCTGATGACCTGGTGATTGACGAAAACTCGGCACGGATGGAGAAGCCTCGATTGGCTTTTGCCAACTTGCGTCAACTATGGTGCAGGCGAGATATCCGTTTGCTAATCATACGACGAGTGTATCTTACAACAGTTCGCTCCGTCATACTATATGGATGCAAGACATAGCCAATCAGAGTAGAGGACATTCTTAGGTTACTGGAACTGACCATAGATTTCTTAGAAGCGTTGATCGTGTATCCTGGGACAGCCGGGTAAGCAATGCTGCCATTACGAAACAAGTAGTAGTGTGGTGTGTGCTACTTATACGAACGATATAAGTAGTATAAGAATGGACGTGAAAGAAGAAGTCTCACGGTCAGAAGAGGAAAACGGAAAGCAAATAGAGCAAAAACAAGAAATAAATAGAGCATCGACAGGAAGTAAAGGAAGCAACAGCAGGAATGGAAGAAGGCTGGAGCGTTGGAAGTCAGGACTCAAAGATGGTGTGCAAATAGAGTGTTCAATGTGATGTTTTCGTTTTTAATTGACTAAGAGTGTAAATTTGCCAAATACAATCTATCGAGCCTGCCTCAGTCTTCTCAATTGGTGTCGCTGCCTCTAAACAGGATGAAGATACCACGGCCTCGGGAGTTTGAAGACGGAGATGTAAGGAGCTTCTTGGAGGAGTTTGAGGCCGTGGCAGGGCTGGTCGGAGTCAAG